GGACCAAACCTTGACTCAGTGAGGGCAGGCCTGCCATTTCCATTGTCTGGCCCAGAGCGGACACCCTGTGCATCCATTCATTCAGCACACATTTATATAGGGCCCACGGTGTGCCAGGCCACTGCACTAGGCACTAGGATTCAGTGGCAAACTTAGCCCATTCCTTGTACTTGAAAACCTGAGAGTCAGGAAACTGACACACAAAAACCAAATAATGACATGGGTGAAAAATCGGCTGGGCACAGTGGCTCATACCTATAATCCCGGCACTTTGGGAGGTCAAGGTGGGAGGATCACCTGAGGCCAGGAATTCAAGACCAGCCTGGCCAACATGGCGAAACCCTATCTCGACTAAAAATACAAAAATTAGCTGGGCATGGTGGTGCATGCCTGTAGTCCCAGCTATTTGGGAAGGTGAGACAGGAGAATCACTTTAACTCAGAAGGCGGAGGTTGCAGTGAGCCAAGATTTCGCCATTGCACTCCAACCTGGGTGACAGAGCAAGACTCTCTCAAAAAAAAAAAAAAAAAAAAAAAAAAAAATCATGGTGACAAGGGCTATGAAAAATGAATAAGGTCTGCTGAAATAAAAGGTACTTGTGATCATGGTATGGGGAGAGAGGACCAGAGGAGAATGCTGGAATATTCTTACCCCAACTTGGGCAGTGGAGTGAAGAGGGGACCTTGGAAGCCCCAGAATAGCCCCCTTTCATGGCACTGTTCCTCCGCTTTCCACCCTATGTTCACGTTGCAGGCCTCACAGGGGTTGTGCTGCTCCTGGTCCTGGCCATCATGTATGTCTTCGCCTCCCACCACTTCCGCCGCTGCAGCTTCCGGGGCTTCTGGCTGACCCACCACCTCTACATCCTGCTCTACGTCCTGGTGAGGGCTTTTGGTGTTGAGCCAGGCCAGGAGGGTATGGGTAGGACATATCCAGAGAGGGAAGGAGGGTTGAGACATTCGTTCTATTTCAAGTTATCTGAAGCATCCTCTTCCCTTCTCCACATCCCTCTTTGAAGGTGGAGATGATAGTACAGGGCTCTCCAGTAGGATGACCCAAATATGCAGCACTTGGAAGGTCAGCTCCCTAGCATGGGTTTTGCAGTAGCAGCCCTGCCAGACTGATCTCCATTCCTCAAAGACACCTCTATGTCACTTCTGCCCAGCTAGTCTTTCCCTACTTTGGGTGGCTGCGTTTGGCTCCTGGGTGGACTACTTGCACCCAAAAGAACATCACCCTTTTTGAAGAAACTTATATTAAATGGGTTCTGCCATTTTTGTTCTGATCCTATTTGGGGGGGCATTACTCATAACACCCCACTAACTGCCACTTGTACAGCATATAAGCTTCTTCAAAATGTCTTCAGATGGACTGCCGATCAAATGATTTTTTTTGAGAAGGGAGAAGTCTTGCCTTGTCACCCAGGCTGGAGCGCAATGGCACAATCTCAGTTCACTGTAACCTCTGCCACCTGGGTTCAAGCCATTTTCCTGCATCAGCCTCCTAGGTAGCTGGGACTATAGGCACGTGCCACCATGCCCAGCTAATTTTTTGTATTTTTAGTAGAGACGGGGTTTCACCATGTTAGCCAGGATGGTCTCAATCTCCTGACCTCATGATCCACCCACCTTGGCCTCCCAAAGTGCTGGGATTACAGGTGTGAGCCACAGTGCCCAGCTGATCAAATGGATTAAGACTCTACCTCCTGCCTCCCTTGGGTTTCTCGTTGGCTGTTTAGCTGCTTAGTTCCCGAACTGATTCTGTGTCCCTGTGTTGTGGCTCTGTTTGCCTGCCTTCCTCGTGAACAGAGACGTTTCCCCAAATGGTACTCTGAGGGCCTCATTTAGAAGCTAAACCAAGTCCCAAGGCTCCAGCTCTTCCCTGCAGCAGAATGGCACACAGGGCTTTCCTTCGTGCTGAAACAAAGAGACACTATACCATGGCCTCGATCAGATTGGCTCCTGCTGTCTGACCTGCCTTCTCTCAGGTGCAGTTCTGTCCTCACTGACAGCAGGGTCTGTTTCATCTTGCCTGTGGCTCAGCATTTCACAGTTCTGAAGATGACTACTCAGCCTTGGCATGATGATGTACGTTTCCTAAGAAATCTCTTTCTGTAGAAGCTGTGACTAATTTACCCTCTCTCTTCCTTTTCCCAATAATGAGTGGGGCACTAGCATTCTTGGTTACTGCTTCTCATGGGGGTGGAGATGACATTCTGGTTCCTGGTGATAAAGTAGCTACTTTGAACTAGATGAGAAATCCACAAGGGTGGCCAGGCAGGCTCCCTAAGACCCAGAGCACTTTCTGATTTGTCCTGGGGTATAGGCATCACTAGGATTCTAAGCCACCCTTCTTGCAAGCAGGAAAGTCAGGGGCTTGAAAGCTGCAGCCAGGCACAGTGGCTGATCACATCTGTAATCCGAGCACGTTGGGACATCAAGATGGGTGGATCACCTAAGGCCAGGAGCTCACGACCAGCCTGGCCAACATAGTGAAACCCCTTCTCTACTGAAAATACAAAAATTAACTTAGGAGGCTGAGGCATAAGAATTACTTGAACCCAGCAGGTGAAGGTTGCAGTGAGGCGAGATCGTGCCATTACACTCCAGCCTGGGCCACTGATGGAGACCCTCTCTAAAACAAACAAACAAACAAAAAAAAAAAAGAAAGAAAGAAAGGTGCATACCTCTATGCTAGGCTATACTCATCTTCAGTTTGGGACAATCTCATCTGGGCTCCCCTCATCAGGGCAAAAGCACCCTCTTCGTTCCCATTTATCCCAGGTATGACCACTTAACTTCAAGCAGAAAGAGAAATTACAAGTAAAGGACCCTAGCATAGACTAGACCCTGGGGAAGAATGGCCAGTCTTCTGATCCAGGCAGAAGAGGGCAGGGCTAGCACCTCAGAGGCTGAGCTGGCTGGCTACCCCCACCACCCCATCCCACCAGCCAACAAGGAATTTGCAGCAGCCTTGTGGTTTAAAAGGAAAGCCAGCACAAAATAGGGTGTGTAAACAGAGCAGCATGACATCACCCTGCCATTGTGCTCAGCCTGTTTGGAGGCTCAGAAAGCCTTGGGGGTGGGTGTAGGCTCCACAATGAAACAGTGAACTTGGGGAAGGAAGAGCCAGTTCAAAGAGCTCAGAGAGGTTTCAGTTAGTCTTGTAGGGAAAGGTTCAAGAATCTAGGAAGAGTCAGCTGGGGGAAGGGACTCCTAAATGCAGAACCGAGTTCAGTTTAAAAGCTATCTGTTGGCCATGTGGGGTGGCTCACTCCTGTAATCCCAGCACTTTAGGAGGCTGAGGTGGGCAGATCACGAGATCATGAGATTGAGACCATCCTGGCTAACACGGTGAAATCCCGTCTCTACGAAAAATACAAAAAATTAGCCAAGCATGGTGGCACGCACCTGTAGTCTCAGCTATTCAGGAGGCTGAGGCAGCAGAATCATTTGAACCCGGGAGTCAGAGGTTGCAGCGAGCTGAGATCACACCACTGCATTCCAGCCCGGGCAACAAAGTGAGACTCTGTCTCAAAAAAAAAAAAAGATTTGTTAAGGGTCTATTGTGTACTAGCTTTCTGTAGCACCCAGCAGCAGAGGGGGAGACTCTTATCTCTTCCTTAGGAACTTAGGATTCGCTGTGACAAAGTGGCACATTTATGAAATGATCAAAATGAACACTTGATATAGGGTTAATTACTGAGCGGAGTGTTCCAAACAGGAAGTTATAGGAGTTCATTGAAGGGAGTTTCACTTGGGCTAAATTGGCTAGGGAAGACTTTGAGGAGAAGATTGGACTTGGGCCAAGAGTCTGGGAGAGACAAGCTAAGCTTTGACAGGGCAGAGTGGAAACTGAACAGCAATCCGGGTAAAAGGAAGGGCATGAGCACAGGTGCAGAGATGGGAACGGTGATAGGATATTCAGGAGACAGAGGGGACAGGCCTGGCTGTGGATGGTTATAGGGCATTAGGTTGTAGCAGGACATGCTGCTGGTGATCATGTGGAGGCTGTAGCTGAAACTGAGGGGCTGTGGCTCAGCTGAGAGGCCACGCCACGTGGCAGAGCGTGACAGAGAAAAGAGAAAGAGAAAAGCAGAGCGTGACAAAACCAGGCTTGGGCAACACCCATGACTGGGGGTGGCAGCAGGAATGAAGCCAGTGGAGGAGATGGAAAGCCAGTGGACCAAAGTGGAGAAGCAGTAGAGCATTGCTGCAGAAGTTGGCAAGAGGTTGCTTACTATGCCTCAGGCTGCCAAGAGTAGGAGCCAATGTGGCCTGAAAGGAGACCTTGAGATCTGGCCATTTGTGGGGCTGCTGGGCCCTCAGTGGGAAGGTCCTAAGGAAAGGTGGAGGCAGAAGTCAGACTGGGCCAGACTCAGGAGCAAGCAAATGGGAAGAATGTGGCCAAGTAGTGTCTGACCATGTTAGATGAACTTACTAGGGAAAGGACCAGAGCTGGATGATACCTGTCAGTTATTTCATGGAAAAGGGAAACTAGTTAGTTATTCTTAGCCTGGAAAAGGAGAGGATAAACTGGGGAAAAGCCTTTCCCCAACAGTTATTGAGTGCCTCTGTATGCCAGGCAGAAACTGCTAGGAGCCTGTAATAGCAAACAGTCCCTACTCCTTCAGTCCAGTGGGAAAAACAACAGTAAACATGTAAATGAATGTGCAAGCGAAAGTACTGTTGGCTGGGTGTGGTGGCTCATGCCTGTAATCCCAGCACTTTGGGAGGCTGAGGTGGGCAGATCATTTGAGGTCAGGAGTTCAAGACCAGCCTGGCCAGCATGGTGGAACCCCCATCTTTACTAAAAATACAAAAATTATCCAGGTGTGGTGGTGGGTGCCAGTAGTCCCAGCTACTCGGGAGGGTGAGGAAGAATCTCTTGAATCCAGGAGGCGGAGGTTGCAGTGGGCCGCTATCGAACCATTGCACTCCAGCCTGGGCAATAGAGCGAGACTCTGTCCCCCCATTCCCCAAAACTGAAAGTACTATGGATGACAATGCATACTCTGTTTTTTGTTTGTTTGTTTTTTCTTTTTTTTACTATCTCCAGTAATGGGTATAAGCATGACAATGCATACTCTAAGAGAGTCAACCGGCAGATGTGGTAGATAGGACTGAACGGAGGCCTGAGGAGGTGGTGTTTCTACTGAGACCTGAAAAATGAGATTGAGCTAGCCATGGGAAGAACCAGGAGAAGGACATTCCAGGCAGGAGATGCAAAGGTCCTAAAGCAGAAAGGACTTGCCATGTATGAGGAACAGGGAGGGGAGAATGGCTAGCAGCTAGAGGTCAGAGTACTTGCGAGGCCTTGTAGTGCAATGGGAAGGCCACCAAAGCTTTTAAAGCTGGGGATGAACATGATACGATGAACTTTAGAAAGTCACACTGGCTGCCTTGAAGAGACAGGATTATAGTGAGGCAAGACAAGTGAAAGCCCTACTTCCACTGGAAGGCTGCTGCATGAGTCCAGGTGACAGGCGACATCGCTTGGTCTAGAGTGGTGTCAGAGATCTGGAAAATACTCTCATTCCTCATGGAATGCTATGGAGGATGGAGTTGGGAGTGGTGAGGTTTTGCGTCCTGAAAGGAGCATGGTATGTGGTAAGGTGGGGGTTGGATATACCAGCAGGGAAGGATGCAGGGTCTAAGGCCTGAGCTGGCCCCACACTCTGCTGCGGGTGTCGCTAGGTCTGAGTAGAGCTCTTTCCCCCATCCAGCTCATCATCCACGGTAGCTTTGCTCTGATCCAGCTGCCCCGTTTCCATATCTTCTTCCTGGTCCCAGCAATCATCTATGGGGGTGACAAGCTGGTGAGCCTGAGCCGGAAAAAGGTGGAGATCAGCGTGGTGAAGGCGGAGCTGTTGCCCTCAGGTACTAGCCTGGCAGGAGATCAGCTTGGTGGCACTTAGGGAGCTGACGAGGCAGAGGCAGAGTATATACCACATAGTTTCCTGGTTGGGCCCAGTGGAGCTGGCAGGGGCTTTGGGTGGCAAGGACAAAGAAGCTGATGGGGGCTGGGTATGGTGGTTCACGCCTATAATCCCAACACTTTGGGAGGCCGAGGTGAGCAGCTCATGAGGTCAAGAGATGGAGATAGTCCTGGCCAACATGGCGAAACCCTCTCTTTACTAAACACAAAAATTAGCTGGGGGTGGTGGTATGTGCCTGTAGTTCCAACTACTTAGGAGGCTGAGGCAGAATTGCTTGAACCCGGGAGGCAGAGGTTGCAGTGAGCTGAGATCACACCACTGTACTCTATACTGCAGCCTAGTGACAAAGTGAGACTCTGTCTCAAAAAAAAAAAAAAAAAAAAGCTGGTAGAAAGAGCTCTTTGGCTCTTTGCCAGAGGACCAAGCCTCTCTCATCACAGAGCAGAGAAGCTCAGGTGAGGCTTCCCCTTGCCCAGCTGACCCTCAGCCCCAGGGCTGCCTGGCTTCCCTCAGGGTGAGCTCTGATGGCGGAGGCTTCCCTAGTCATATTCCAGAAGCAGAGCTGAGGCTGCGGGTGGGGAGCTCTCTGGAGGCCACATTGTTGCTGGGTTCAGGGCAGCAGCCTCCACCCACCATCCCTCCCCAGGAGTGACCTACTTGCGGTTCCAGCGGCCCCAGGGCTTTGAGTACAAGTCGGGGCAGTGGGTGCGGATTGCTTGCCTGGCTCTGGGGACCACTGAGTACCACCCCTTCACACTGACCTCCGCACCCCATGAGGACACACTCAGCCTGCACATCCGGGCAGCAGGGCCCTGGACCACTCGCCTCAGGGAGATTTACTCAGCCCCGACGGGTGACAGATGTGCCAGATACCCAAAGGTACCAGACCCAGGCCAGATGTGTCACATGCTCCGATATCTCCTTTGAAGGCCTTGGCCTGGCAGCACTAGACTCCCCACTCTGTTCCTTCCCTCCCCACACCTAGAGACTGGTTGTTCCAGATAATGCCACAAACCCTCCTCTTCCCCTCACTCCATATATGTATCTGCCTTTCCCTCCCTCTCATTTCTGACTTCAGATCTATGGTGGTGGCCAAGCTTAACTCAAACCCATGCCCTTCCCTACAGCTGTATCTTGATGGACCATTTGGAGAGGGCCACCAGGAGTGGCATAAGTTTGAGGTGTCAGTGCTAGTGGGAGGGGGCATTGGGGTCACCCCTTTTGCCTCTATCCTCAAAGACCTGGTCTTCAAGTCATCAGTCAGCTGCCAAGTGTTCTGTAAGAAGGTGAGTGCCCCCTCTTCCCACCGACTCGTGGCCCCTTCTTCCTTGTCATGGTACCCATCTGTGCCTTTCTCCCCTGCCTTTGTTCTTGGTTTCCCTGAACTGGGCAGCAGCAAGTTGGTTTGAAACCTGGGGTTAAATCATGAATGGGGTGGTATCAGGATATAGTTTGCACATGCCTCCAGGATCCTGCCTGGTTTACAGAAATTCCTTCCTTAGTTGGGGGTGCTCCACATAGGATTTACTTCTCAGAGTTCCTCTAGGAAAGGTTGGAGGGCGTGAAGAAACCCATTCCTTCTTACAGAGGAGCCCAGCACTTGGAGCCTTACTGCACTGGAAAAGGGAAGGGCACACGGGTGGGGCACAAATGAAACTGGCTCAGATCGCAAGAGGAAGAGGAGGAGAGGGGGCAAAGCAGGGCTGTTGGGCCAGATTGGCCCCAGGAACACAGCTTAAACCCTGAGGCCCTCACACGGGTCCTTTCACCCCAGCCTGGACTTGGTGGCAGGCCCCTGCTCGTCTCTCTGGGCCTGGCAAGTGAGTCAGGGGCCCTGGAATGCAGTGGGCAGAGGCCCAGCCCATGTGCTGTCAGCATTCAGAGGGTGACAGCTCCCCTCCTCTTCTCTGTGTTTTTTTTTTTGTTTTTTTTTTTGTTTGTTTTTTTTTTGTGAGACAGTGTCGCTCTGTTGCCGGGGCTGGAGTGCAGTGATATGATCTCAGCTCACTGCAACCTCTGCTGCCCAGGTTCAGGCCATTCTCCTGCCTCAGCCTCCTGAGTAACTAGGATTACAGGCACCTGCCACCACACCTGGCTAATTTTTCTAGTTTTAGTAGAGATGGGGTTTCACCATCTTGGCCAGGCTGGTCTTGAGCTCCTGACCTCATGATCCACCCCCCTCCGCCTCCCAAAGTGCTGGGATTACAGGTGTGAGTCACCACGCCCAGCAGCCTTCTGCTGCTTAACTATACAGCCCATTTTCTCTGCTCAGGAGCTCCCCACCAGGCAACTTCCAACCACTGATCTCTTTGATCCTATCCCCATTTGCCCATGCAGCTGCTGGGTCTCCCTGAGGCTTTTCTGTGAAATGCCCTTCAAGCACTAGGTGCCTGGCAGCCTGAGCAGGGACCACTGGAGGGAACTGTAGGACAGGCTGAGCATAAGAGCTGCTTCCCATCCCACAGACCTTCACCTGGCAATCACCAAGGGACCTTTCCCATGACCCTGGGCTATCTCTCACTTCCACCTCTCCGTGCTCTGGGGCGACTCCATCTCTGGCCTCAGAGTCTGGCCCTGTGGCCCATACACTCCCATCTCACCAGCCTGTCTAGGGAGGGGCACAAGCTGGCTGAGGTCAGAAGAGTTCTATGGGTATGGATACCCCTAGGATCTAGGGAAGCTGAGCTGAGTCCTGAGCTCCAGCCATGTGCCCCAGATCTACTTCATCTGGGTGACAAGGACCCAGCGTCAGTTTGAGTGGCTGGCTGACATCATCCGAGAGGTGGAGGAGAACGACCACCAGGACCTGGTGTCTGTGCACATCTACATCACCCAGCTGGCTGAGAAGTTTGATCTCAGGACTACCATGCTGGTATGTCAGGATCCGCTAGGAGGGTATGTGGGACACTGTCTGAGCTAGAAGTTGACCCTAGCTGTGCCTGGCTGAACTTTGTTCCACCCTTCTCTACCACAGTACATCTGCGAGCGGCACTTCCAAAAGGTTCTGAACCGGAGTCTATTCACGGGCCTGCGCTCCATCACCCACTTTGGCCGCCCCCCCTTTGAGCCCTTCTTCAACTCCCTGCAGGAGGTCCACCCCCAGGTCAGTCTCACCCATATCCAGGTTCTCTTCCTCTTTATCATTTGGGGTCTGAACAAAGCTCCGAACCCTGCCCCATCAAGGAAGAAATCGACCGCTGATGAGGACCGATCCCCTGGGAGATTGGTGGGGTAATGGAAGGGAAAGGATAGGTGGGAGGGTCGCCCTTAGGTGCTAAGGAGGAGGCAGGCAATAGGGACTTGCCATCTCTGAAGCCGTGATGTATTGTCCAGAAAGAAGGGCTCAGTCATTGAGCTAGTCCTCGCCATAAACTCAGGGCTACCCTCACCATTAATACTGAGTCAGCCCTCAGACACTGAGGTAACTAACCTTTACCACGAGCATTGGACTAGTCACTACTCACAAATACTGGGCTAGCCCTCCATGAGATGCTGAGCTTTTCCTCAACTTGAACGCTGATTAACCCAAGATCTATTAGAAATGTTGATCTAGCACTTAGCAAAATTCCACTAGACTTATATATACTAAGCCAGCTCTCACCATGCATGGTAGAAAGCAAAACATCAGGAGCACTGCTGGCTTTTTTTTTTTTTAAGAAAGGGTGTTGCTCTGTCACCCAGGCTGGAGTGCGGTAGTCCAATCCCAGTTTACTATAACCACCAACTCCTGGGTGCAAACAATCCTCCCGCCTCAGCCTCCCAAGTAGCTGGGACTACCACTAGTGCACTATGCCCAGCTAATTAAAAAAAAAATGTAGAGACAGGGATCTCGCTATGTTGCCCAGGTTGGTCTTGAACTAGGGAGCTACCCCTTCCTGTGAACTCTGAGTTATCCCTGCCTCTGAACACTGAGCTAGCTCTGCCTCTGAGCAATGAGCTAGCCTTCACTTATTCCTCCTGCAACAGGTCCGGAAGATTGGAGTGTTTAGCTGTGGCCCCCCTGGCATGACCAAGAATGTGGAAAAGGCCTGTCAGCTCATAAACAGGCAGGACCGGACTCACTTCTCCCACCATTATGAGAACTTCTAGGCCCCCTGCCCAGGGACTCTGCCTACCACCCAGTTGAGCAGAGGTTTGGGCCCACACCTCATTTCTGCTCTTCCTATTTCTGGCTGCCTCAGCCTTCTCTCATTTCTTACCTTTCAACCTTGTTCCAGGTGGCCACGGTCAGTCACCATATGTGGGCTCAGGGACCCCAGGATGTGTCTCAACCTGGAGAAATGGGGGGCAGTGTCTAGGAATTAGAGAGAAATAGGGGAGCTACTGGTTTGGGGCAAACTGAAACCTCTTCTTCGACTTCAAAACAAAACAAACAAAAACAACACACAAAAAAACCCTCGAAAGACAAGCTGACCTGACAAGTACTGTGTGTGCGCATGTCTGTATGTGTGTTGGCATGGTGAGTGTTAGGATGAAGCGGGAGCACGGATGCTGGCATCTTAGAACCTCCCTACTCCCAGACCTCCTCTTCCGGGCTCCCCACTGTCAGAAGGGCTGGCAAATGCCTTGGAGGAGGTAGAGGCTGGACCCATGGCAAGCCATTTACAGAAACCCACTCAGCACCCCAGTCTAACACTACAACTGATTTCACCCAAGGTTTTAAGCACGTATTTTCATCAGACCCTGGCCCGATACCCATCTATGCAAGGCTCCCCAGCCCTCTTCTCCCTGCTCCAGTAGTCTCCCTTACAAATAAATCACTTTTCTGCCTTCAGGGTTTCTTTATTCTGCCTTAGGACTGGTTGGGGCACGGGGAGAGGAAGCCACTCACCCAGCCAGCTCACCAGGCTGGCCCAGACATCTCTCAAGCTGACCAGTGTCCTGAGTAAAGGAGCTGGCCCAAGGCAAAGTGCCCCAGCTAGAGATCCCTTCCCTGGCACAGGGGTGGCCTCCGTGACAGAGGGCCTGTGAGCAGCTAGCATGAGGCCTGGTGAGCCGGCTCAGGAAGGGCAGAGAGGGTGTGGAAGCTTCTGGAGGAGGTGGGGTGGGGAAGAGAACACGGGAGGGGCGGACTCAGCTGGAGCCTATAGGGAGCCAGAGCCGCCTGGCTTGTCCTGGGATCTCAGTCACTCCCAGCCCTTCTCTGAGAAATGGGAAAGTTGGACCCCTGTACCTCCATAGCTCTTCCAGGTGGTGAGATGACGGCAAGGAGACAGATGAACACATCACCTAACCTTTCTGGGCCTGTTTTCTCATCTGCAAAATGGCTGGATGCTCTCCAAGTAGACTTACAGACAGGACAACCCTCTGAGGGAATTTCTAAGAGTGCCCAATTTTAAGTGATCCCTCCTATTGTCCCCACAAAACGTTTACATACCACATATCCTCAATTTCAAGAAAATAGCCACTGGTTTAGAAACTCTCAAGTACCGCGATTTGCAGCACGCTTTGGAGGTTGCACGTTTACGTTCTGGAAGAGGCCCTCAGACTGCCTTCGGCGCACCCGTCCGCGAAGGTGCCGACCCAGCACGTCGAGGGGTCCTGCCCGCCTGCCGGCGGGGTCCGGGCGGGCCTGAGGCGGCCAGGGAGCAGCTCCGCCTGGCGGCCTAGCGAGCCTCCCCGGGCCGGCCCACAGGCCAGGGCGGGTTCCAGCGGTGCGCGCCGGCGGGGTGCGGTCTGGTGGTTAGGGGCTCTCAGGCCGCCCCTCCCGCGGGTCTGCCCGAGATGGACCCATGCTTGTGAGCGCG